TTTTGTCTACCTCGGGCAACAAAACACGATTAGCAGAGGCCTGGATGACCGATGATCTTGTTTTGTACATTATTTAATCAGCTTTGTTTGTTTCAAAAAACGAACTACTACTCATGAGGCTATTTCCTCGCGTCTTCGTTACGTGGGATATTGCGTGCAAGTACCAGTGCTTACGCCTCGTCCGTGATTTGTATTTCGTGTTCAATGCGTACTATTATTACTAAAGTTACCACAAAGTGGCGTCGCGCGATGGAATTTCCAAACATTAAGGCACTGAATCTGCCTGCCAACCAATCTGAGATCGAGAAATGGGTTCGAACGCTTCGAATTGTGGTGCAGCATTCGCAAAGGTGTCCACCGAATTTCAGGCATATCGGTGAGCTAAATTCAACTCGCTGATTCATGCGGAGCATGTTTCCTGCCGTGATTTCATTCCGCAATTGAACAAAGAAGCATCGCGCTGCAACTACGGCGATCGACTGGAAGAACAACTGTGTGATCGACTAGTATCAAGCATAAACAATCCGACACTCCAACGGAAGTTGCTGGGGAACAACGCATTAGCTTTTGTATAGGCACGAAGGATCTAGGAACAACATGATTATCTGACAGGAGCGAATTCCCTCGAAGCACTCACTCTATTCTAACGTTTTGGCTTTACCCCCAGGTATGTCGGTGAATGGCTGCGTAAGCTGGGCACATTGAGGGATGAAACGACGATAAAAGTTGACTAAACCGTCGGAGCTGCTTAAACGTGGTGAGCTCCGGGTAGTCTGCTACCGTCTGAATTTTGTCACTTAATAGCTTGATGCCTGTGACTGTGATGCAATGACCGAAGAACTCAATGTTGGAGGCTCCGAAGGAACATTTTTGTGATTTGACTGTGACACCGTGCTGTGCCCAAGCGGTCAAAAAGTGCTCGCAGTTGTGCCAGAGGTTGCTCACTCAATGAGCTGGCTACTAGGACATCGTTTAAGTAAACAAAAACAGACTCTGAACCTCTACAAACACTGTCGATGAAGAGTTGGAAAGACTGTGTGGAGTTGCTTAAACCAAAAGGCATTAGGAGAAATTCGAAAAGACCAAAAGGTGTGACTACGGCCGTTTTGGGAATGTCCTCTGCTACCGGTATCTGGTTTATACTTTACGGCGGCTGGATCCTGGGAGAGGATAGGCCGGTTTCATGGATATCTCGAATTGCCGCCGCCCACGATTTGCGGCAGGATCAGCGCAGATTGTGATCCAGCTGGACTTCCATTGGCGAACGCCGTTGACGGAACGAAGACCATTGCTTTCAGTATCCTTTCGTACCGTGTCAAGCCAGGTTTTCAGCTGTCCACCGTGCCGACAGCACCAAATCGGGCAGGGAGGCGGTGCCAAGACAGCTTTTATCATGTCCTTATCGGATTTACGAAGAATGTGGCCAAACCATTGTATTCATCACCGTTGCAGCAGCGTCCTTAGCCGTACAAGCTTAAAACACTGATTTCTCACCACTTCATTTGAAAGTTGATCCCTCCATCGTACTCCCAGAAGGATTCTTAAGCACCAGTGATCGAAGACTTCTAATTTATGACAGTCTTCCACTCTGAGTGGCCAGGTTTCGCAGCCGTATAGCAAAACAGGACAGACTGTTGTAGAGAAAACTCGGATTTTTGTCTTGACGCTGATTTCATTTCTGCGCCAAAGGGGATTCTTCAACTTTAAGAACGCCTTTCTTGCAGCATCGATATGCATTTGCACCTCGTCTTTAGCTTGGTCGTTGGAGAGAATGGTTGAGCCCAAATATTTGAAGCTTTCGACGGATTCGATCCATTCGTCGTTTAGTGGTAAAGCATTTCCGGAATGAATCAAGACTGTCGCAAAGGTGTTCGTTTTTGATGTGTTCACCTCTAGGCCGATCTCGGAGGCCTGTCGACTGATGCGGTCAACGATTACTTGGAGGTTAGACATANGCTAAAGACAACAATATAATCCGCGAATTCTAAGTCGGTGAGCCATAATTTCAGAGAGATTTGAACTCCCTGGTATCCTTCCATCAAAAGACGCATTATCCAGTCCACGGCAAAGTTGAGCAGTATTGGAGACAATGGGTACCCCTATCGCACTCCAGATCCTAACCCGAACGGGAAAGATTCCTCTCCGTAGACACGGATTCTGGCGCTAGTGTTA